ATGGCCAACCCTGTAAACTACACGAGTTGCCTGTAATTTTGAGGCGGTTCATATATTTGTTTTATAGTTCTCGTATTATCATCATTTTCTTGTCCATACTTAAAGACATCACTGCCGGAATTTTTTTTAGAATTGCATAGTATGGGATTAGCGGGCAAGAGTTTGTAGTTACAAGTTTAATCGGTGTTTCATAATAAATCGTTTGCCAAATTTTTGTACCTGACCTTCCCCTTCCCCTTCACATCGTTATATGAATTTAATGCTTTGCTCAATATGAGTACAAGTGCGAGTGACCGCGTCTCATTTCGACCTTGCTTTTTTTGCCAGAACATGGGCTCGCTCTCCTCATCTTCGAGAGAAATTGTCGTCGAGCTAGTTTTTCATCCTTCAAGTCTTTGAGATGACCCTTGAAACGAATTGGTACGGCTTTGGAGGCGTAAAGGCGATTTTTTTGCAGGCAGCATAGGATCAGGTTTCAAGGATAGTGTTACAAGAGGAAAAAGCGCAATTATTGTTGGAAAGTACTTAGTTTGAAAGGAGCCTGTGAAATTGAAGACTAGTAAATTTTGAAGATATTGTGGTGTTCTTGCGTAGCCGACAACATTTGCGCGTAAATGGTGATAATGCGCGCTCTATGGCTGTTTTTTCTGCGCGCGAGTCAGGAGAAAAGTGACGTCATTCAATAACATAGTATTTGATTTCGCGCATTTGTTGTTTTGACCCGCGGGGGCACTAGTATATCCCGTGAGGCTCTGTAGACCGCACGTCAGTACAAAAAACGTGTTTTTTAATTGTTCTATTTTGAATAACATGCGGTTATGTTGGAAAATGCACCTATACACATACGTTGTCGGGCCCCCTTTATTGCCTCCCTCCCTCCTCTTCCCTTCCAATTTGAAATGAACCAAGTAGTGACTGCGCTATTCTTTAATCCCAAACCAATTCAACATGGGTGCTGCTGCTGCTTTATTGCTACTCATTGATTTTCTCCGCTCTTCGAACCGGAAATTAGTATTCCTTTCGTGTTTCCACGTCTTCGTATCGAGTTACTTCAAGCCATTTGTCTCTCTGCCCATTTCATGCTAATGCGCGTTGCAGCTTCTGCAATTGTTTCTGGTTTTTGGAAAATTTCGACAAAGGGAAAATGAGATTATGCCAAGTAAATCAAATCGTTGGAAGTTGACCCCTCCCTCCTGAGAGATTTTTTTTTGAATTTGAGTTGTAAGATTCTTACTCTTATTAAAGGGTCAAAATTGATTTGTCTATGTACGACATTTTGAGATTTTTTGGCTTCGAATGAATCCGAGATTGAGAAAAATCTGAAATTGCGTTTTTGGTGTTTCTCGCTTGCCAAATTCTGAAGATTCTATCAGGCCAGCTAACATTCATTCTTACGAAGTGAGTAACTCGGATAACATTCCGATGACACTATTTTAAAACTAGAATTAATATGTCTTTCCTGGTTGTGGAGAAAATCGAGCATTTTCTCACAAATCTTCTAAAATATTTTTTTCCATAATTCGACGGGCTAATGTTACCCGTAAATGTTTCGAGCGCAACAACTCATTTGCATACGATCAAATTTCACCGAAATATGCGATAATATGTGTGTAATTCTGTCGCTGTGCAAAATCGCGACCATACTACAGTTTAGTTTTCGGCTAATTTTAATCTACTATGGAGCAGAATCTATGTATAGAGCGAATCTTTGTAGTTTTGCCGAATTTTTGATGATGTGCTATTGCAGTGACCACAACGTTTATGCGAAAATAACCGCAAGGCTTGTGAATGCTGCCAGTTTGCTTGTCACTTGCGCGTAAAAAATGGCTAGGGAGGGCACACTTAGCGCGCAAATGCTGTCCCCGAAGTTTCCCTAGGACAGTGATTTTTAATGAATTTGTAAAGTTTTTAGATTTTTCTGGAAATAAAGAGGGTAATTTGCATTAGTTTCTACTTACCAATTTTTGGTAAGGTTTTGAGAAGCCGGAAGTTCACAGTAATTACGATCATTGCGGCTCTAGTCCTATCATCATTTTTCAACAACCGTAAATTTTGTTTCATTTCTTTGCCATCAATTTTGAAGTCGTAGATCAGCTTCAGTCAGTCCTTGGTCGTAAATAAAGTATTTTCTTCTTCTCACCCTTATAATTGGGACGCCTGCACCCACCAACAAAAATTATACGAAAGATTCCCTACTCTTTGATCTTTTGTGGTACATTTTACACTCCATCCGAACTTCATTTGATTTATGGATGACCGTGAACATACATCAAACTGCGGAGATTTATTCTTGATTAAAGGTGGTGGTTTTCCTGTCGATATGAAGTATTTGGTAACATGACAAATTTCAATTCTGAAGTTATTGGTGCTGTTTTTGTGTCGATCTTATTAATGAAGTACGACGATACTCGTGAATGATTTGGTATTTTTAAACAATGTTATAAATTTGTAGGAGAGCATTTTGTTCATAACTTGCGATCACTAATTATAGTCAATTGACTTGGCGCTTATTACGTGCATGCACCGACGACAACATTTGCGCGTGAACAAATGCTTTGCTGGTGAGTACGACAACTTGCTTGCCACCTGAATGGCGCATGGTGCATTTTTTTTAAGCGCAAATGTTGTCCGCAGGGCAAGAACACTATAGTAGACTGGGCTGTTAGTTTTTTTATAGGTTTTGCTCTTTTTTGAGGCAAGCACATGTGCTACCAAAAGAGGGCTACCTTGACAAATTTTGAAAATTTCATTGTTGTCGTACTGGTCTGTGGTAATGTTATCACCAAAATTAGCCGGAAACAAGGTATTTTGAACAACTTCAAGCCCTTGTTATCAGTCCAGGTTACCGCGTCAAGTTTCGAAATCTGTTTATTTGGCTACCGGCGAGCTATAAAATGTCTTTCAATAACTTCTTATCTTGCCTCACTCGCCGCGGTTATTCGTCCATTCGGTCATTTTCATGTGCCACTTATGTCAAGTCTAGTGTTGCGCACAATGTCAAAGGAGATCCACTTCAAGGTCAGGTTGCCTTTTTTTCGGAGTTCTTTCTTGAGATATTGAAGGGCCATCGAGATTCTAAGGCGCACATTTTTTCTAGCATTCTTGAACGTAGATTTGCGAAGAATATGTAAATTTCACTTCATTTTGGACGTTATGTTTGCAGTGCTAAGCTATGGGATTAATGTTCAGTTAAACATATCCTAGGGATTTTGAAAGTTGTTGTAGTGCCGCTGCGGTGTCAACAACATTTGCGCGTAAAAAATGGCGATGAAGCGCAGGCGTTCATTTCGCACCATATGGCCAGTTTTCAAGCATATGTGTCATTAATAACGTAGTGACACTTATCAACCTTAGATTGACTAGAATTATTCATCCTTGTTATGATCGAATTGGTTTTTTGATGCTAAAAATTATTCTCACAGTACTCTTCGGTGAGTCACACCATATCACGATTGTCGCGAGAATCGCCCGACCAGCATAAATTTTTTTGACTGCACTACAGTGGACTTTACGCGCAATTTACGACACGTACGTTGTATGCGTAGGTGTGGATTGGCTATGGATTCACAACATACACAGCTTTTTTCCTATCTTTCAACATAGTGCCTGGAACGCTGACATTTCCCTCATCAGTCCAAGTGACTATTCCCTCCTTAGTCTAGTGGTCCTTTCGCAAATGCTTTGCATACCGTGTGGGACTCATAGTCCATGGGGATGGCACAGGCAAAGGAACGAACAGCTCGACTATAGTCACCGCCTCCGCGGGCTACTGCTCTTACCACGATGCACAACGGTAGGACGGAAGGACCAGCAGCCCGCGGAGGTAGTGCCTAATTGGCGTGTTCGTTCCTCTACCCCATAACGGCTAGATTTGCTTCACAGCCTGTTCTCACGTACTTCACCCCCCCCCCCCCTCTCGCCCTTCCCGATGTCCTTTTGCAGACACTTTCGGCGCATAATTTTGCAAAATTGCGTGCAACCTTGAAAACTCAGAATGTCTCTGGTACTTTGCAGGAAACCGAGTAATGTGCACGAAAATTTATTAGAGAAAGCGAAAAAGTTGGCCGCAGAATATGAGGGCATAGTCAGCTGTTCTAGCCCTCAGTCATAATGATGTATCGTGCTAGTTAGCATTGCAGCGCAACTGCTCGCTTGCTATTTCGCTGCTGTTAAAATCATTTTCTAGCAAATTTTCGCACTTACGAGATCATGTCACGCAAAATTTCTGGACTGAGATCGGAGTGTCTTCCGCTTATGATCGAGTTTTCTGTATATTTTTGTGCATGGAGGAAATATTTCATGGGCTTTTCGAGAGCGTCGAACTGGCAAATCTGCAAAAATTCTGTATTTTTGAGCTGTTTCGAAAGTCTCAGAAACATGACACTCCTATTGCGCTGTTTCTGTACCTATATGTTATTGGCATAGTAAGTACTTGCCTTCACATTTTCGCCACTTAGTGCAGTTGCAGAATAACACTCTCAGATTCTGAAAACTCTTCATTTGGTCAGTAGTTGTCCTTTTTCCGCAAATGGAGCCTATTTCATGCCTATCGATTTTTCTGCTAATTCTCTTTGTTGAGTCAACTGTTGTTGGTTTTTGCATCCATGGCTAATGCACAAATCTCTCGCGTTCGCAAATGAATGTATGGCGTTGATGTCATTTAAAAAAATGATTTTTCGGACATGTTAGTCCTTTCGACACATGAAAAATATGCAAATTCTGGGGAAGGCCATGGTCAACATATAATGTTGTGCAATTGCACCAGGTGGACCAGAATGTTTCCACTGATGTGTAGACCATGTGAGAATTGATGAGAACTTTTTTCCCCATAATGTGGCACGCTATATCACATCATCGCAATGTTTGATATGTTTCTGAACGTTCCAAACCCAGTCGTATGACTTCATTCTCATAACATACATTGCCGTCGCATAGAATGCGGCGTGATTGCACAAATTTTTCATCACTACGTTTTGTATCGTTGTTTACTTCGTGCATAGCTGGAAACTGTCACAATCAGCTGCAAATCTGTTTTCATTGCAGTGAAGTGATTACGAGATTGTGGACAAAGTCTGCAGAAAGCATACTATAGTGTCTGGAAGATGCGATGGGTTGGCTTATCTTCGACGGTATCAGTGTCTTGTATGTGTTCACATTATTCTTATTGGTTAGTTTTATCTTTTTCTCTTTTTGTTTTTGTTTTTGCGTTTTTAAACTTATTATCACGGATCCATTCTCGTTTGCTCTAAAGTTTTCGTAAATTTTATAAGAATGTTGGATTTTTCAAATTTCTATGGAAAGCCTATGAAACAAGTTTCAAAAAAACAGATGAGATCATTCTTGGCAGAAAAAAGACATACTAGAAATGGTCGTAGTCCAAGAATTTGATGATTTCAATAATCTGCATTTCAGTTAATAATAATTATGGCAATTTTTGTACAACGTCAAATATTTCGGCTACGTAATAACAGCGCCAGGCAACGGCCGAATGTGTCACTGAAGCCTATAGCTAAAAGTGAGTTTTCTTGCGTTTGCACTCTTATCGACCGTTTGCGTTTTTGTTTACTTATTCTCAACCGTAAATGCAACTTACAAGGGAAGGGTGCCACTTACCCTGAACAATTCAGAGATGTCTGATTTGTCAGAGTAAGTGGCACGGCGCGTCTTTGAACGCTGATTTCAATTTTGCTTTTCTATTTTTGAAGACTCTCCGAAGGAAGTTATGAGCGTTTGAGTTCAAATTTCTCAAGCCTTTCTCAAGCAGGTGACATGAAATCAGCAAAAGGTGTACGAACATGCGGACTTCCACAAGCTATGTTCTTTTCTTGTAGTCATTGTACTTGATAGTAATTTGACTACCCATCTCCAGGTGGTTTTGTGGAGTTTTTCGCTGATTTTATGTCACTTAATGCTTGACACTTTTGGTGTAACACTCATAACTTCTGTCAAGGAATTGTTTCACAAAAGAAGGAAAGCAGTATTGAAATCAGCGTTCAGACGCGTCTAGTAATGTACATTTCTTCTCGATTTGCTCTCCAGTGGTATATTCCAGTTGTTTATTGTTGATCAACTCAGACTGTTTTTCACTTATTGATTGTGCTCTTTGAGTCACTCTTCATAGACAGAACTTGATATTAGCAGTACTCTATGTTTGTTTTCTTACTCCACCCTTGCAGGATCATGTCTTGCTATCGAGCAGAAACTAGATGCGGTGGAGACGATGCGAAAGTCGTACTTACCTCGACTGACGGATTGCACGACGATTGGCCAACGTGAGTGCTTCAACTAATCTTTGCCTCTAATTTGTTTGATTTTACTTATCCCTTCGTACTTGCTCCAACCACTTGGAGCTGGATGGTCATTTTTTTAATGAGAAATCGTTCAACTTTTTTCGAGCTCAGTGTGGATTTGTCTCCGAAATCTTGTCTCAGTCCGTTCTAGCGTTGTCTACGTATCTCTCTCGTACATCGTTGGTTTATACAAACCTCAGTCGTTCACTTAGGTGAATAATTTCTTATTTCTGTCCCGTTTAGAATGAATACATTCGGTATTTGCTGCAAAATTGATATCTTCCGCTGAGCGTACCCAAAGTCGAATCTGTGGCTTTTTGAAGGTACTTTTTTGCGCTCGTTAGCTAATTCCCCAGAAGCTTATCTCTCTACACTTGCTATGATTTGATTATCTCTCTTGTGCTCATGTAAAAGTTATATTTCTATCTGGTCTAAAAACTTAGTGCTGTCAAAATCTATCACAAAATACTAGGTTGCATTTTCTTTCTTGTAACTTTTGGTCTCACAAGCTACAATGCGTTTTTGCATCGTGTTCTTTGCACGCTAAATCCTCTATACCTTCAGGAATTTATCGATTTCATCGTTCTTTGTAGTTGATGTGTCGCTTTCAGACAGCAGCGCCCCATACGTTCATCGCATGATCGCAGTCGATGAGATATCGTTGGAAATCGGTGAGTGTGTGAGAGCTTTCATTAGATGTTCGTCCAGTTTCGCTTGTTAGATTGCGCCTTGCATATTTGATTTATCGACGATCGGCGTTGAATTGCGCGTTTAATCGCGGTGAATTGTGCCGATTTCACTTTCATAACTTGTTATTTCTGCGAATCGAGGCTATACGCTTGTCACGACGCACATTTTTGTTTCTACAATGGGTGGAAAGCTTTTCGATGAGTTTTCATCTGGGTCCATCCTTATTGTCGCAAGACAGGTTTTATCTAGCGTTATGTGCTCCTTGAACAAAAATTCTTCGTATTTACATTCTTTACGAAAACTCTTGGCTTTTTTCACTTGAAATCCCCTAGCTAGGTCCATTGCTTCCCCAACAATGGCTTGCATTTTCGCATTAATGTTTCCGCAAAACTTATTTTCTGTGGTGTGTGAGCAAAGATCACTTTCAGATCGACTTTCAAGTTTGCTATATGCTCTTGCTATTTACCCTTTTTTCGTTGTATGCGAATGATAGTGGTCCCAAGAGCATATTTTATTATATGCATGAAAAGTGAAGTTTAGATGACTGTGACTTAACTCGTGAATTTTTGAACATATGCGGAATCAGTCGTATTGTTTCAACGCACACTTTGCTCTGGGAGAGGGGAGAGAGGAGGGGGGGGGTGGCATCGTGATTATATCAAAGCCTTCTCCTTTCCCGTTAATGCATTTTCATCTCCTCTTAACCTGATTTATCGATGGAATGCGCTCGAAAGCGCATACCAAACATTTTCTGGTTTCGTTTTGTTCGTCATGTGTCACGCTTTTCACTTTTTTCTCTTTCATTGACCTTATTCGTGATTTACTTGCTGTCGAAGTAGTATTTGCAAGCTAGGGTGCGCACAGAATCTATCGTTCTTGCGCGGATTACTTGTGAAATGTCATGTTTTGCAGAATGTGAGATGTTTTCGCTCTTTTTGTTGTCATCGTTCCCGTTTTCTCCAATGCTTTTGAACCCGTTGGTTGTCGGCGATATATGCATACAAAAGCCTATGACTCAAGTTGTATCGCCGTGCTGTCGGATGTCTCGGGATTTGCACATATTTTGTAGTTTTCTGCACGAAATAATGCAAACATTTTGCATTCTGTCTAAGCCTAGGCTTTTCTTCTACTCTTATGTAAACATTGGCAGGGGTTTGATGGGTGAGAGTGACAAGAGAAGGGTAATGGGTGAGGCTTTTGTTTATTTAGCAGGAAAATTCTTGGTGGCATCTGGAATGGGAGAGGGGGAAGGGGAGGGAAGAGCCCAGGGAATTTGCTCATCGTTGGTTGATTAACGTTGCTTTTGCGCGAATCTAATCAGGTGTGGGAGCTCTTTTGTCGTGGCTACATGGAGAATGTTTGTACTTCCGAAGCATGCTAGAATTTGCTATAGTACATTTTTTTCACCTTTTTGGCCTTTCTTTTGTGCAAAGCTCGATTCATTTACATACCTTTTCTGGAGTCCGATTTGTCTCCTTCTGTCGCCATTTCAATCATTTTGTGACCTTCACTGAGTCTATGGCATTATCACATTCTGCCATATACCTACCGGGAGTATGAGACCAATCCCATCATTTCGCGACGCCTTCGCGGACTAGTGGTCCTTTCGCACGTGCTATAGCATAACATCTCAGGATCAGTAGTTCTCGATAAGGTGCCTAATGTTGAATTTTGTCTTTCTATACTATCCCAGCAACGTCTGCAAGAGTTTCTTGGTGAAGGGGCGGGGCTGGCACAACTCCGGGCGAATGGGCGTGGCTTTGTTGATAAAAATCTTCTGGAAACTTGTCAGATTTTCTATCGCCTTGAAGGGATGTGGCGATAGCCATGTTCTAAAGTAAGTTACGACCTGGTATTTTAGAAGTCAAGGACGCACAAGGAAGGACCAAAATCTCTTTGGCTTCGTCGTAACCAAAACGCTCCATTCTTCTCCTTTCCCTCTTTATTTCCCTCCCCATCCCCTCCTGCATTCGATCCTTGGGTTTTATCAGTTTGGATCCGCATAAACTTCTTGGGGATGACGCGGGGGGGGGGGCGGGGGGAGGTAGGACGACACAAACTTTTCACTTGAAATATCAGTATAGTTTCCTCTAAAATGAAACGCAGCTTTAGCTTACGGGAAATGTTTGAAATGCTTCCAGAAAAATCCTCTCTTTGCCCCCCCCCCCTCCCTCCCCTTCGCGACCCATTCGCCGGGAAGAAGGGGGGGGTGTACACTGGTGCTATGTGTGTTGCCCATGTTATGGTAAGACATTTCGCTTCGTAACCATAGTAATGGCTTTACAAGCATCTTTTTGAGTGTGGTTAATATCCGTTTCTGAAAGGCTGCATAAGAAATATCGGTTTCCAAGGAACGCTTTTTGCAATGTTTTATATTATTGTGAACACGTAGTATATGAGATAGGGTATTCTGGAAATCGCTAAAATTGCTAGTTATTGCTCCATTTCTGCCCTTCCCTCAAAGCTTGTTGTTTGCCGTTCCTAGCCGTCTTTCATTTCCACCACCCAATAGATCGAATTTCACGGAACGCATTAATAATTCAGCGCTAGGCAAATTAGGCCCAGCCAGCGCGAACAGCTGATGCGTTCGTGAATTGGGCACTACGAACGCTCAGCCCGATGAGAAGGCATATTAAGGTTAAGTAAGCATGACTGGAACTGGAGAGGAGCAAGGTTTTTGGTGGACAAAGTGTTAAATCTGGTTTTGATGATCGAATTAGAGTAAGGGCATGTTATTGGAGGTGAGGTCTTGACAAAGGGTAAGGAGTTTTTCTCTAAAATTATGTTCAACAGTCTGTTAATATGCTTGCTTTTACTACGACATATCGTCTTACTTGGAACATGGACTAATTTGGAAGAAAAAAAAACGATTTTGAAACTTTCCATTACAAGCACAATGATGCTTCCATGCACCTCCCCCCTCCCCCCTTCTCCTTTCCCGCTTTACAGGTTTCTCTTAGGACTAAAATTTTCACAACTTTTTCCAACACCACCTATAATTTTGTATATAGCGTTATACGGCATTTGATTCATATCCTACCCTGAGATATCATTTTTTATGCCTTTCACTCAGCTCCATCCAGTCTTCTTCAGGGCTAGGGCTACTTACTCTGGGAGCTGTTTGAGGAGTCCAGACTAAGCTATCATCCAAGCAGCAGTTCGTATGACTCATCCATGGCCAAAAATTCTAATCCATACTCTCGTCCAATACCGAACCCTTTTGAGTGCACCGTTTTTGAATACGGTACTGGTCTAATAGGTTCTTAGTCCTTGACCCTACTAATCAAAATCCCCGTAAATTGTGGATACTAGATTTGTGCCTACTTTTTATGCTAACGGCACTAATATCACTTTCCGCAACATTCTTTGGCCTTTTTTCATTTTGCAGGCTTTGATGTTATTGAATGATGTTGTGATTTACATTTTGAAACTTCTAACTTTTTCTATTAACGCATTGAAAAACTTTCTAACAATAAGATACATTCTCACCATTTGTTTCTCTCATCTTTTGCCTAATGGACTCGAGCCCATTTTCATGTTTTTCTAGAACGAGCGAGACGTTGTGGCTACGAATGTTATGTGACCAACAGCCCATTTCTATGGCAGGCATCGTGTTTCTCTGAGCTTTTTCTAGGACGCTTTGTATGTGGTGAATGACAGGTGCTCTTCGTTGCCCGTTCATACGTTCTAGACCTTACAAATAGACCTTGGATAGCGCCGTTGAATGGAAGCGATTTGTTTCGAGCGACTGAGAGGCGAAGGGGGGGGGGGGGTTGTTTTGTCAAAAATCTTATATGCTTGCACCTTTTGTGTGTTTCATCTTTTGTCTTGCGTCATATCTTTTTTTGATGTAGAAGTTGTTTAGGAGACCTCAATAAGTCGTTGACAGCTGATAAGACCCATTCATGACCAAGAAATCCAGTACTGCTCGTTTGCCCAGTACCGTACTCTTTCCGAGTGGATTGATCAGATACGGTACTGGACGAGAGTTTGAAGTCATATTTCTCAGCTGTCAGTGAATCATATGAGCTGCCGTTTGGGTAATGTCTTAGTTGTGGCCTCCCACTCAGTTTACTAATGGGAAGTCTGGGTAAAGACTGCATGCTTGCTACCTTTGAAGTTTCCAAGTAATTGCTCTCAGAAGCACAAAAAATGCCATTTTGTAGTTTACTTTTTTTCTACCAAAAACAAAGCCTGGACTATTAGGGTCTACTGCGTATTTTTCTGTAGTTCTTACTCCGCGAGCAAAGGCAAAATGAGCTCTCTACTTCTTTTCTTCATTTTGGCATATGTGGCTGCTTACCTCTTCTACATAGCGTGGTTGACCGAGTTCCATAAATATCGTCATTAGAACTGCTGCCATCTGTTTTGTGTTCATTTGGTGCGTTGGCAAAACAGAAGAAGTTACTGCGAAACGTAAATAGAACGGGAGAAATATAAACATTGCGCCAGTGTTGATTCTTCTTCTACGTTGCAGAGTGCAAAAATAGCTGAGCTGTTGGTCTCTGATTATAGTCTAGTTGGACTAGAGCTATCCATCACTACGCTTCGATTTTACATTCGCTCAGAGTCAATTACTGCATTTAATGATACCTTACTCTTTTTCTGGTATTATTATCGTGTTAGAGTTGATGCGAATAGCGAAAATGTGAGAAAGAACGGATATCATCGTGGTGAATGTGATTGTGCCGGATTTTGTAGCTCTAATATTTTCCTATTATTGGGAACAAAAAAATTGGATAAATTTTTCTTTTTTTTCCTGGTGAATTGATTGGCAATAGTGAAAGCGAAGGACGGCCGACTTCAAAAAAGAAAAAACTTATCATCCATTCTATGACTAAGATACGCGAAACCGCATTGCACATTGTCTAAACAAGCCTAATCGTGTACTTAGCAGGTTTGTACTAGCTATCTATCTCGTCCAAGTTTATTCACTCTTTGGCAGTTAAGAACAAACTCATACTTGTTAAGACAATGTCCGCAATGTGGTTTCGCGTCTCATAGTCATAGAATAGAGAATTCAAGGAGATTCATTTATTAGAATCTACGAAAACTGTTCAAATTATCCACAGATTGAAAAGGGTGATTTATCGAACATCGCATTCATACCCCCCCCCCTTCCAAACATTTTGTGACATCCATGGAGAAAAATTTGCATTTTGGAATATCTTGCTTCTGTTTATTATTGCCAAGAACAGATCACCCAGTAAATTTTGCAAAATTGCGTCTTTCAGATTCGCAATTAGCTCGGATTGATCCTGAGCTTGCTAGGCAAGCAGGCGAATCGACGCTTGCCTATCTGACACGTGTCCGTCAGAAAATGCCATCGCTTCCGGTCCCATTAATTCAACGAATTGCTTTCATGCATGAAGCAGCACGATATCGGTCACAGGTGAGTTTTTTGTGATTGTCTTGGTTTTACTGGTCTTTCGATAGCTGTGGAATGTGACTTGATAGAGGGCTTAGTAGGGGGAGTTTGAGGCAAGGGAAATTTGGGTGTGGACTTTTTATGTGTTTAATGATTGGAAGGACTCAGGTATATCATTGCGTAAGTTGCAGCTCATAATATTCATTCTTGATCGAGCAATCCATTTTCGAACTTTCGCCCAGTACCGTACTACCCAGAAGAAGCACGGTATTGGGCGGGAGTGTAAAGTGGTACTTTTTGGTTACCATTGAACGAATCAAGCTGCTGCTCAAGCAATGGTTCAGTTAGGACCTTCCAATCCCTTTCCACATTAGAAATCGGGTACCCAAAATTTACTTGATCATGCTTTCGAGGTGCGCTAATTGCTTTGCGTATGTGCAGGTGCCAGATGAATCCCTTTGGCGCGAAACCCTGCCTTTTAGTGTTGAGAGAGCAAGTCTAATCGGGAAGTAATTACTTTGATTAGAGGGTGAGAGCGTGAAAGGTTATTAGTTGTTTTGGTGTTTACTGGGTTGTTAGGGGGGGGGAGATGTCGAGGTCAAAGTGGGTGGATTAGCTGACATCGAGGATTTGCATGGTTTTTACCCTTTGTTATGGGACCACATTGAGGTCAAAACGAGGAGCTATCCATTTTTGGATTTTCTAAGCCTTTTTCCTCAAAAATGCGAGGAGTAGAAAACTTAAATACTGAGATTTTAATAATTGAGCAACTATTGGACTTTGTCTTTCTGAATTTTTCCTAATTATACCATTTTTTTTCAGAAGTTTGAACTCAAAGATCTTATGGAATTGCGATCGCTGTTAAACAAATTCGTGAAGACGTGAGTTTTTTTTCTCCACTTGTTCTTTTTTTTTTGTGACCAGCTTTTCAAGCTAGGCAGTGCACACCGTAGCATCTGCTTGAGATCAAATTAAACAATTTTTGTTTGCGCAGTTTTTTGTCGTTTTTTTATGTCGTAGAAGAAGATTGACAGGCGTTTTTGCGCCGTGCTTGCCTTTTTTTTCTTAGGAACGTTTGTCAATCATCTATGACTGTAATTCGAACACATTTGTATTTTGATTCTCACTGGAGTCGAAAAATTCTTAGATATTTCTCATTGCATTTTGATGTCGATATGCTATCAGATGCATTTTTATCATTCTGTTCGGAGGCTGAATTGTGAAATCTCGCATTTTTCCACTATTTTCTTAGTTCTTTACTTATTTGCTTTCAAAGAGATTTATTCGCTCCTTGCGCAATTTCCATTTTCATTTCAATTTCATTATTATTCAGCTTCATTAGGCATTCATCCTCTATGCTTGTAGTTTTTTTCTTCTGTTTTACACCGCATTTGTATATCAGCTCATATTTTATCATTTACCTATTTATTTATACATTACTTAATCGTATTGTGCCATATTATCCAAGTATTTTCGCGCAAAATCGAATATTCCTTTTTTGAAGTATTTTTATTGCCAAGTATCCACTTGAAAGCTTATCACGTGAATGACTTTTTGCCAAGGGCTGGCTCGAAGAGTAAATAGGAAGATTATCACTTCTCAATGTTGACCATTTACTTGGGTAGACGAAAGGGCAGACACTTCTCTACATTTTGGATGAACGTCGTTTCGTGTTTTCGATCTGGTGTTTTCGAGTCGTTTCGAGAAATGCATGTTTACGATCGACAATGTTATTTGAGCCATTGTTATGCACGGATGGCTCACTATGTTATCCCTCACGTTACCTTATATGTTTTGCTACGCACAAAAAGTCGTGTCAGATGGGCAATTAACCGCTTGCAGTCTAAGTTACCATATGGGTTCTCTTCTTGATCAAGCTCTGATCCAGTCTTCAAAGGGTTATTCAAGGGCAAAGTTCTGGCAAAATTGAATCTTGGGTTATTTGCGAGTTGATTAAGAGTCCTAACAAAAGCGTCATCCAAGCGCCAGCTCATGGACTTCATTCCTGTCCAAGAAATTCTCCTCTAAACTCTGGCTCAACACCGTACTGCAGACCAATCAGCGACGTCAAGTACGGTAGTGGGCGAGGCTTTAGAGATGAATTTTTCGGCCTCTAGTGTTTGAGTCGACGCTTGGACAATGGCTTTGTCCAGAGCTTCTTGACCAGTTTTCTCACAAGAAGTCCAGTTACCGAACTCTGGCTGGACTGCCGTTGAATGACCCTTCTAAGTTTGCACTAGTGGTTGTACTATGCACGCGCATATCCTATTATTGGAGTGAACTGGTTCAAAAAAAAAGCATTTCATCTTTTTTTCTGCTTTTGAAAAGTGCAGTTTTTACAAGCATCACTCTTCGGTGTATGGTGACTTCAGAGCGAGTTCAATGTTGCGCTGCACTCGAATTTCAAATCTTTTTGCACTTTTTCTTTGAATCATCTTTGCCTTCGTTCAGCCCCAATTAAAGTTACGTGTAGTTGTAACAGTATAGTCGAGTGCGGGTAATGTTTTCTGGTCCAGATTTTATGGTTGAAATGATATAGTTGACTGCACCGAGTCAATTACGAATTCAGAAGCTCGTTCAAGCGCCGTCTGGGTTACTGATTTGAAATGCACGCTGTTGTCATTGTGGTTCGTGTGCTCTTGACACAGATTTCACCAATTTCACCAAGTGCTGTTGACGAGAGTTAAAGAAGTTTTTGAGAGCTATTTCGAGTGGGCTAAGCTTATTTCAAAGATGCGCTTATTAAGATTGTTTCTTCACAAGAGGAAAAATGCATTTTGTGCCTTTTGATATCTACCTTCCTTGCTTTTTTGCTTAATTTTTTTTACGCTTTTCTATTATCCGAGCTTGTATCTGGGTAATGGTAGGTACACGGTAGGGATTAGAATCGCACCATTTGCTAAAGAAATTGTATTGCGTCATATGTGCAGCTTAAATCCGCTATAAGATGTTAGATCAACGAAACCGTTGTGGTTTTCAAAATTTGTACCTCCAAGCAAATAGCAATCGATAGTTCTTACCTTACCGTAACCTCACCAAAACCTCGTAAAAAGATCCAATGTTGAAAAATTTTAATTTTGTGAGCAAGAGTGGTCTTAAAATTTGGGGTCCACCTGCTGATTAGCAGTAATTTCTTGTAGCCTCTAACATAAAAATAATCTTTTCTAAAGATTTCTTTTCTCCTCCAGTTATAATCAATTTCCTCATATTTGTTGAAGTTGAATTCTATAAAGTAGAAATTTTTGAAAAATGAAGAGCTGTTGAATTTTGTAATTTTGAATATTATTCCAAAAATAGAAAAATTGAAGAAGTTTGGTTTCCTAACCAGAGTTCTCTTAAAGGGTGTCCAGGCTAAATGTAACCCCCTCCGATTAGTGCCGATCCTGATAGGCGCCAGGAGAGGGGCATCTGCGTTGGTTCGGTCCTCTAATGTTGTGTCTGAAGGAGATAATGAACCTGAAACAGCGAAGGTGCTGTCAAGCCACGCCCAGATCCTATCAAACTCCGCCCACCCAAGTACTAGTAGTCGTCTGTGCCTTCAGAATAGGGCTCCTAAAAATCGGGTTTTTTGCGGGCTTTGGACAATTTGAACTTCATGATTGTAATCAGGGCCATGGTAATGCCCCATAATGACAAGAAAACGTAAGAAGCAAAATTTTGGGTGGACGCTGCCTTTAACTAAACAAAGAATCTCGTACAGTCACTTTGTCATTTTGTATCTTGTTCCCCCCTCCACCCCTCTCCTTCCCAATACATCACTTTGGCCGAAATTTTTTTTTTGAAATTTGTGTTGCCTAAATTTCGATTGCATTATTGATTCGACATTTACTAAATGTTACTTTATAGAATCGCTGAAGCACCGGTGGTGGACGCAGCGACACCAGCAACACCAGTCAAAGGAATTCTCCATCATCTAGGACAGAAGGCTTTGCAAAGCAAGAAAAGACGCTCGAAAGCGTTTGGTGGTAGCGACGGTGAGTATATTCAATTATTTTGTGGTTTTCTTTTTTTTTCTTTCTCTATAGTAACAAGGGGTGTTGATAATATTTCTTTACGTTTTGCTGAGGTCAGGTGAGATTTGTTTACGTACTTGGGAGACTTGCTCACTTATGTGTTCATTCGTCAAGTTTTGAGCACTAGCTATAGCAAATTGCTATTCTTTCCCAAGAGTTAGTCGTATTTGTCGTTCCAAAAACTAACAAATGCGCCCACCCTCGGCTTTGTTCTAACATCAGTTAGTAACAGCTGAATAGCAAAGTACAGGTTGCTGCAAGTCTGTGGAAATATAACCCTTTAGTTGCAAATTGTCTATTTTTTCATGGTATTTTGAATAGTGCATGGCGTCAACTATCCCTCTGTTTATTTCCTGTTTCTTTTCCTGGCCGTATATTTTTTCACTTTTAGTTTCCTTTCCTTTTCTGTGCAAATTGGATTCCGTCGCGTTTTGAGTAGGCTTTGATGCTCTCTAGTCAGTCACTGAACTAGTGAAATTGTGAATCTGTAACTTTCTAGTACTGTTTTTGTCTTGCGCTTTTGCTTGGAAAATTTGTTTAATCAATTGCGGTTGCTTCTTTTGATGATTAGACTGTGGATACTGGATACTGAATAAAAGACAGCAACTCGGCTGCGAAAATCGTGAACTTTCGGACAGATCGTATCCTCTTGCTAGGTGGACCAATCAGCGTACGGTCTGGGCGAGAGTTCGGAGTGAATTCTCGGTTGCAACCGATCATATGTGCTGCCGGTTTAGGTAGTGGCTTGTTCTGGGTCTCCCACTCATTTTTTACTTGGGAATCTTAGACATTCATTTGTGTTCAGATACTGCCTTTATAGTGATTTTTGTTTTTTTTTTCTTGGCAGAAATTTTTTGCAAAAATTCCTGGTCTTACTCTTCGCTTTTCTCGCATCTTTGTATGTGGTATGTAACTATGCTACGCAATCTACGAAGGGGGAAATTGGCTTTTGCTAAATCTCAATCTAATAAGACCTTGTTAGTTCAGGTGAACTCATAATGGTCGTCCGAAATTATGCTGAAATTTTTTTCCTCGTTCCTTTTCTTTAGAATTCCCCTAGAAGCGCCCTGAGCTTATTTCCAATCATGCTCCTAGAGAGTCCCCCACTCTAATCACGGCTTAGGTGATTGGATTTTCTCCAGTCGTCTCCGAAAAGGCCAGCAGTAATGGCCGTGACGATGTTTTTGCATTTCCGTGAGAATTTCTGCTCGACCTATTCAGCGCCTTCCACTTTAAGATTTATGAATTCGTTCCCATACTTAGGAAGTCAAATTATGGAATTTGCTTTCTTATGGAGTGAATTTTTTGATTTGTTGTGATATTCTGTGAGGAAGTAAAAGAGTTATTTTAGGAATATTCGATAATCGACCCTATATGAGAGGTATCTATCGATGGTGTAATGAGAATCGTAGTGTAGCTTTGCATGTTAAGGTGTTTCTCGTGTAGAAATGCGTCAGTTTATAAGTGCTTGCGCTTGAATTCCCTTTGAATTTGTTGATTCGCTAAGGTTAAGTTACCCTTTCACAGAAGGAAGGGTAGACAATGATGTGAAGCAAAGTTAGTTTTGTGTCAGTTGTCCTTTAGTTCACAGTTTTCTATGCTACCTAGTTTGCGTCTTTCGTGTTGTGGCTTATCCAGAAGTTTCTTTACTAGCTCGTTAGGCGGTGTTCAGAGTTTGCCCAGTCCTGAACGGCAGTGTGCCAGTGCTGAGCCAGTGCCGTGCCGGAAGCACATGGACACGCCCCGTATTGATCGGTGGATGTTCCGGCACGGCGCTGGCACAGCGCTAGCACTGCAATTCTGCACGCAACTCCACAGCCCCTAGAAGAATTTGAAAGAGTCTCTTAGTTATTTCGAGGATTTTTTTTTGTTTTTATAGTGGTCCACATAGAGCTATATTTGCAGTTACGGTAGGTTATCGATTGAATGTGAAAGATTTCTGTTTATAATCGATTCTCTCAAAATACCCATTCCAAACTGGTATTTCTTGTAACGTACTATTGGAAGGCATGTTGTCTTGTCCGCCTACAGTAATCCTATCGTAATCTTATCGTACTACTACCGTGTAACCATGGTGCCCACTTTGGATTACAAATCAGAGGTTTCCTACGATAAATTTTTGAGGTTTCTCATGCATAGCTGAAAAATATCTTTATTGCATTACGATTTGCTTTGGGGCACAATTTAGCGTTGGGTCTAGATTTTTAACCAAATTTTCTCAAATCTCACTCTTTTGTTTATCGGTCCATAACACAACATTGTTTTAGGTTCTCATTACCTTTTAATTGAAATAGGACTATCTGCCTTATTAAGTTGCTCTCACCATTTATTAGTTGCAGGCGGCCGTCTCCTTGCTGGCTATATTAACGAAGAACAAGTGTCACTACTACCAGTACGAAGTACTCCACAATTCGAAGATCCTACCCGACTGCGTCGACAGAGCGATTCGCAGCGAAGTTTGATAGAATAGGCGATTTTTGTTCGCTTAGTTAGAATATCTCATCGACCAGAGTCTGCGTCTCTCGTCGCGTTGCGGTTGCCTTTGTTACTCGTGTCCGGGTTAAGTTAAAGCAGCTCATATTTTATTTTTTTGCGCTTAAGCATTACTAGACGGGCTTTTTCACATGTTGTTATCTGCCAATTAGTCATTTCTGCACCGATCTCGTATTTTCACTGTGTTGTAGCTGATCCTGAATATAGATTCTTGATTCAAAAAAAAATCTCGATATGAATGTTTTGCGAATTTTAAGGTTCGATTCAAGCGTTTTGCAGTGATTGATTGATTTCTTCGATCATCGATTATTTCCTCATCAATTATTGATTTTTGTAGGCGAACTTTAGCATATGTGAACAATGAACCACACGGGACACTTGTATGATGAGCAGTATCTGATCGATTCAGTAATTACCTAACGTGCTGAATTATGAATGGAATGGATCAATAAGCGATCGATTGTAATCAATTCTTTGTTTGAGAAACATTGTGATAAAACACTGTGATCACACTATCAACATAGAAATTATCCTCATCTGAGATTGCGTAGCAAAATGCGTACCTCTGCTTGTAAAATGTTCGTTTCTCAAGCATTTGTTGCTTATCGATTGATATTGATTGCTTGTAACAATGTATAACAACACTATTGTTCTCGTTGCGTCATTTGGAATGAATATGCAATTATTTTCATACCTTGCTCATTGTAGCTGGTTCGGCAACCAATCAATGTATCGATTTTTTGTGTATTGTTGTAGTGGTACTGTACGTCTCTTTTGTAGTGTCTACCTTTAAGAGCACATCCGCCTCATGATTGCCTTGCGCGGCGTTTGCCAGCGTTTTGCTTGTGCACTCAAATCGACCGTATTGATTGAATTTCAGCACGCAAGGCTTTCGCGCTGCGGATGCGTAGCCGCAAGCAAGAGAGACGTATAATTGAGACAGGCTATACATGCTTGTGATTTTATGAAGTTTTTCTAATTTATTCAGACTTGCCGGTGGGTAAACCCGGAACGCGATGAGTCTTGATGAACCACGCGATCCGCAAAGAAACCGGCAATACTATGAGGATCGACACCTCCTACCATCCAAACAGACTACGGTAAGTGATTTCACGTCCATTTTGGAAGTTTCTAGGTCAGACTAGGATGCGCTAGCTTTTTTCCCCTTTGTTCGGATAGCACTTAGTGGTTCTCACACCATTCGCAGTGTGCAATTTTCACTCTGTTTCTCTTTCCTCGTCTCTATTTTCTTTCATTTTGTTCAATGTTGGTGGTGGTGGGTATGCCCTTTCCTTTCGAGGGGACAAGGTAGGGGTGAGGGTAGGTAAATCTCATGTTGTACTTTTGTCACATTTCATAGAGGTTATGCATGAACTTTTTCGCTACCCAAAGTCTTCACTGCTGTCGAGCAAGCTCCTCGCTCTTCGGCAGAATTGCACTTTTCAAGCATGAAAAAATGAAATTATGTTTGGGCGGGACTCCCCTTGAAGGTTCGTTGAAGTGATGAAAGTGTCCGTAAGCCTTCATCTGCATTCTTCAACGTCCCATTGCGCTTTTTGTTTAGCACGGCTCCATTGTCCTTGAAAGCGTGGTTTTCTCTCATTTAAAACTGTAATTGCCTTTTTTTTCTAGCGAAATTCTTCTAGAGTGTTGAAAGTGTCCTGGGAACCTGAGCATTGGTAATTGTGGAAGTTAGTTCCATCAGATGCATATAGTTTTTCATAATTTATTTATGCTTGTCTTACATTTCCTTGTTTTTTTTTCATTTTTACTTCATATCTGTCTCTTTTTTTCATCATGTTTAGTGGATTAGAGAAAGTTCGTTTATGTTAGCTACATTGTTGATTTGCGTCTAGAGCGTTCCTTGCACTCTTGGTTTCCGATTCCTTATCCTTATACTAAATGCTTTGAACTATGAAGTCCTTAGCTCGTCTCTCTCGATGCGCTAATGGAAATTTCCCGTCGCGAACTGAGCCTGCCCTTTCGGCATCTCCAAATCAGCAATTTATGGCGGCGGCATCCCCTTTTACATCTGAACGGCCTAAGACGTATGAGATACCTCATATCGTTTTGCTTCTTGTTTTCATTCCGTTTTTGCACGTATATATCTTTAATCTTTCGTAAATTACTACGGGGGTGGTACTTTGAAATTCTTTCGAACGGCTATTCGTGCGCATTCTGCCCGTTGTTATGTCACTGGCGACGTCCTCGAGCTTGATTGAGCTTGGTTTAATATATTTCATTGTTTACCGGGGGCATCCTTCACTGCTAGAGCAATTGGCTATTCAGTCCTGGGAAAGTATAGAAGTAACAAAGTGTTTGCAATCCAGATTAGATTCTTCAAAATGCTCTGCTTTTTCATGTGTTTCCTAGAAGGCAGTGAGTTGCTTTATCTTTTTTTAAAGATAATTTTGCCCAAATTTTGCTCCCATCTCATTTTGCCACAACGAAATGTGTTAATGCAAGATGTAAAAATTTAGAAAGTGTCGTGATATTTGGCCCTTTAATGATCGCTGAGAAGTTGTTGTGCATGAAAGAAAATGTGCTTTTTTGTTGGTATACACCTGTTTTGATGTTGTGGCGTATACTTTTGAACGATCAAATTGCTGTAATTTGAGTACATTTTGCGTCCTATAAAATCTTTGAGGTGTCCCAATAGCTGAAGCGGGGAGAGGGAGAAAGGGAATGGAGGGAAGCAGGGTACATATTATGATTGCAAGCTACTTTTGTTAGTTTGGATGCGATACAGTTTTGTAAAAATGAATTCAGCTTTTTGATTTTTTTCTGTAGACAGGTCTTTCCAAGGCCGTAGCGATTAGATTGCGAAAATTTTGAGAAAGATCCCAAACTGTTGGGCACATCTTTTTAAGTAAACATTTTCGCCATTTTTTTGGTACAGCCACGGGTAGTACTATAACAGTGTGAATAATAAGTTCGGTATTCTACGATAATATAGTCCAGAAACAAGCGTTCTGATTTTTCTGTGTGTGGGGGAGGGGGGAGGGAGTGTTGTAGGTACTTAGCTTACCATGCGATAGGTTTCGAAAGACTATGGGAGCGCTTTTAGGACTAGCTGCTGAATCATTCTCATGCTTAACCAGTGCATCCTTTTGAAGCAAATGATGAAAGGCACCTTTTAGCTATCGGAATACATTCGAAGATGGCATTTTTTGCATATTATTTGCAAATGATTAGCCATAGCACATTTCGAAGCATATAGCTAGGAAAAGGAAGCGTTATTGACTGTGTTAGTTGTTTAGTCATTTTCGAAGTAGAAGTAATTTTATCTTTTCGATTCGTCACATTTATCGCTATTTGATTACACATCAGCAAATAACTGAAAGGGATTTTCTGTTGTTTTTACTTAGTTTTCATTGGAACAATTATTCCTCGGTGTTTGTACTTATAGGTCATCGAACTCAAAGGGCGCAATTGCGGACGCTCTGCATCTCTTAGATGAGGTTTTATTTCTTTCTTCGTCTGCTGCCTCTTCCAAATACGAACTACACTGGTCGGTCGCAGCCGCGCCCAATTCCTGCGTGCGCTATACTTGAGTGTACTCATTAAGTTTGACGCTCTTTATCTTGTTGGCAAGGAAATGAGTTGATGATCTAATTTCTCAAATCGCGCGCATCGTTAAGGTCCTCCATTTTTGGACATCAAGTCCTCTTATGCAACCTCAACGCTTCGTAAATCTTCATTCTTCATCATCACAGTCATTCTATCTATCTTTTCTGTCTATCGCACTTTATTTGGGCGAAAAGACATCTCGCTGATAGGCTCCGCCCTTGCGGACATCTGCCACAAGCCATGCATCATAACATGGCGCTGCGCGTACCCGTTGTCCTCATAGGAGAATTTCATTGGCGACATAGCGGCCTTCACCCTATTTTTACAAGGGAAGAATACCCTCCCCCCGAAAATTTTTTACAGAGTTAATTTGAATTTTTGAAAAGTTTAAAATATTATTTTAATAATTTACAAGAATAAACAAGTCACTTGCACATTTTTATGACCCATTTTTTATAATTTTTGAAATTTACTTACGTGTAAATTTCAAAAATTTCGCGACCCGCGCGCCTTCCTCCCCCCCCCCCCCCCCCTCCCCACCCCTCGGTCCGCCACTGTTAGACGCCTATTTAAACGTTTGGCATCTGCTTTTCTTTTCTGCGGAACAGCTTTGCGATAGAAATTATGAGAAAAAGGAAAGCAGATTTAGAATCAGCGTTTAAAGGCGCGTCTAGTGATATACATTCCCATTTGAAAGTCCAACTATGTCAAGTCTCAAGTGGCATGAAATTAGCGAGAAGCTGTACAAGAACTCTATGTGGATTTGCACTGGCTATGCTCCTTCCTTGTAATCGATATACTTGATACAAATTTTATCACTCACTTTTGTAGAATTTTTGGCTAGTTTTTTATACCATTTGAAGCCTGACAATTTGGACAAAACGCTCATAACTTCATGTGTAATACTGTATCAGCGAGACCTATTTGTCATCAACAGCATGGCAAATATTCAATCCTTCTATATAAAGCTGAATGTCTGTCTGTCTGTCTGTCTGTATGTATGTCTGTACGTATGTGCGGAATAGAAATTTTTATTTCTGAACCGATCGGGACCAAACTTGGCACACATATACTTCGGGGCAGGGAGCGTGTCATAGGCTACTTTTCGTTATCGATCGATATCGATTTTATCGATTTTTATCGATTTTTTTGCTGAGTTCACCTACGGGGCCGGGAGTTGGCACAGGGGGGTAATCGAGCATGGGGATTCCGAATACAATATTGGTTTTCAGGATTATCGATTACTTTTATCGATTTTATCGATTTTTTTGCAAAGTTTGAGCTACGGGGCTGGGAGTTGGCACAGGGGGGTAATCGAGCATGGGGATTCCGAATACAATATTGGTTTTCAGGATTATCGATTACTTTTATCGATTTTATCGATTTTTTTGCAAAGTTTGAGCTACGGGGCTGGGAGTTGGCACAGGGGGGTAATCGAGCATGGGGATTCCGAATACAATATTGGTTTTCAGGATTATCGATTACTTTTATCGATTTTATCGATTTTTTTGCAAAGTTTGAGCTACGGGGCTGGGAGTTCGCACAGGGGGGTAATCGAGCATGGGGATTCCGAATACAATATTGGTTTTCGGGATTATCGATTACTTTTATCGATTTTATCGATTTTTTTGCAAAGTTTGAGCTAGGGGGCTGGGAGTTGGCACAGGGGGGGGGGGTAATCGAGCATGCTGATCACCCCCCTTGGGAATGATCAGCATGCTCGATTACCCCCCTGCGCAACTCCCAGCCCCCTAGCTCAAACTTTGCAAAAAATCGATAAAATCGATAAAAGTAATGGACGATCCTGAAAACTAATATTGTATTCGTAATCTGCATGCTCGATTACCCCCCTGTGCAAACTCCCAGCCCCGCAGGTCAAACTTTACAAAAAAAATCGATAAAATCGATAAAAGTAATGGACGATCCTGAAAACTAATATTGTGTTCGTAATCAGCATGCTCGATTCCCCCTGTGCAAAATCCCAGCCTCGCATGTCAAAATTTACAAAAAATCGATAAAATCAATAAAAGTAATCGATAATTCTGAAAACTAATATTGTATTCGGAATCCCCATGCTCACTTCCCCCCCCCCTGTGCCAACTCCTAGCCCTGTAGGTGAACTCTGCAAAAAAATCGATAAAAATCGGTAAAATCGACATCGATCGATAACGAAAAGTGGACTATGACACGCTCCCTGCCCCGAAGTGTATGTGTGCAAAGTTTGGCCCCGTGCGAAGCCGGGTACGCCAGCTAGTATTACATATGAATATTTGCCATGCCAAGATTCAGAAACAGCCGAACTTGGAATGCTCATAACTTCTTTTTTGGAGTTGTTCCGCAAAAAAGGAAAGCAGATTCAGAATCAGCGTTTAAAGGAGCGTCTAGTGATATACATTCCCATTCGATTTGCCGGTGTAATTTGATATTCTTTCCCTATTATTCAGACTTGCAAGAGCCAAGTGAAAGCATTTTTTCTCATGCCATGAACCATAAAATGCATGACTTATCAACTTTAAGGTGACATTTGGTCCCATAGCAAACGAGACCAACAGGACCACCACCCCCGCTGTCCCGCCGCCGTCGCCACGACATCCCAAAAGTGAAGCCGTTGCTGTTCCTCAGACTGCTACACCACCCGCTGAACCGACAACGTCGGCACGAACCACACCTAGGATCGTCACCACCCATGCGCCACCACCTGGTCGTGGTAGCGCTGGAGGAGTTGGTGCTGCTGGTTCGATTTTGAATTAAGTACTGAAATTTGATTACGGTAATTTTGTTTACAGACCTTGGTCGGTTAGTGAAAACAACATGGAACGATCTGAAGGAATTACTGGGGTTTGTACCGAATTGTATGAATGGTGGCACAAGAACGGGTGGTACAACGTGTAGATGTCCGAAATTGTTTGAGGTAAGGTTTTCTCCTAGTGAAGTTCGTATTATTCAAATCTGTTCAGGGTGCTCTATGTGATAAACGAATATGTTTGAATGGTGGGAAATTAGAACGAGCCAAATATGGTCCAGTATCATGGGATTGCAAGTGAGCTTGTTATTTTCTGAACTGGCTTTAGATTTTCTCCGTTTTTTTCATAATGGCTTTGATTTTTTTTTGTGCTATAGCATTGTTGAAGGCAGTTTTCAGGCAAATCTTGGTATCTGAATTGCTAATGTAAATGATTAAAATGTCTTAATTGAGCCATTGCCCAAGCAGCAGCTCATATTACCCATTTGCGTCCTCTAATAGTAACTTTTCTCGCTCATACGGTACTCTCTACCCGTATTCGAAGACCATGATTGGTTAGCTGAAAGAATGAGTCGCGAGAGTTTGGAACTGAATTTCTCGCCTACAAATGAGTCATATGGGCTAATGCCTGCGTAATGGCTGTTAAGACTACTCCCTCAGCATCCAAATCAGGAATGCAGCCCAGATTGACCTAGACACTTCCTCTAGTCAATGTCATGCCATTTTTAAGAATCAATAAGCTCTCCCTCTGCCGCTACGGTGGCGCTACCAAAGTCAAAGTTGTTTCAGTGGTGTTACGGTCATACTTTGGAAATCGATGGACATGCCGGTTTTGCTACTATAGTACTTCATTAAGAACTAACTCCAGTTCTTAGTTTGGTTCTGGGTATCAAATCAGGATAGTCTATGCTTCTTATGTCAAGAACGTTCTAGAATAATTGTGTAATAGTGCTCCCAATTTTTCACACTCAGAAGATTGTACAGTGACCATGAAATATGAGAACAAATAGTTAGAAAAAAGTGGTGCTGCAAGTGATATCGTCTCTTTACCGTAATTCTGCCATATATACATGTATTGGTTGTGACTATGCGTTTTGTGAAACCTTTGATTGTGCGCCATGGCTTTTAGGGAGCGTTCATACCGCGCACGAAGGCGGACGAAGGCGGACGAAGCCGCATAAAGGCGGACGAAGCCGGACGAAGCCGGACAAAGCCGGACAAAGGCGGACGAAGGCGGACGAACTGCCAAAGCGAAGGGGTTTGCCGGCGAAGTGCCATATTGGAATAAGCGTGAAATACAGTGCGCGTTGTGCGTTGAGTTATATATGACTAACATACGTGCACAACGCGCGCTGTATTTCACGCGTATTCCAATATGGCACTTCGCCGGCAAACCCTGCGCTTTGGCAGTTCGTCCGCCTTCGTCCGCCTTTGTCCGTCTTTGTCCGGCTTTGTCCGGCTTCGTCCGCCTTTGTGCGGCTTCGTCCGCCTTCGTCCGCCTTCGTGCGCGGTATGAACGATCCCTTATGGTTCTTTCCACAACTGGGATTTTATAGGTGCCCGACTCCTCAATACATTGAAGGAGCCCATTGTGAGACGGTACGATGTGCAAATAATGCGGTACTCCGTACAGAACCAAATGGTAGTTGGTGGTGTGATTGCTCGGATAGTATATTCTATTCTGGACGATTTTGTGAGGTAATCATTTGAAAAAACTAAATTTTTTGGTTCCAGTTTTAGCATTGATTTTATCGATTTCAGGAATTTAGCGCACCGTATGCAGTATTCGCAGTTCCCTTAGCTTGCCTATTATTATTCGCATTATGTATAGCTGTATGCCAAATGGATCTCTGTCCAAGACGAAGGCGAATTCCTCGACACACGAGGCGATCTGCTGACTCTGGCCAACCTCATATAACTTCTCGAAGTAGGAGAAGGGCCGCCGCGGGAGTGCCACCAAGGTCGCGAGCGGCTCCGTCGACGGCGCAGAGAGCTGCGGTGACTCAAGTGCGTCTTTAGCTGCACGGTTTTGGCGAAGGGTGCAAAATTGCCGTTGATTTTAGGAACTTCTCATAGCGGAGGATCGAGCAATGTGTCGCCGAGGCGTTGCTTATCCACAAGGAATTGTGGCCCCTTATGTGATTCGATTAGATACCATTCCACATTTCAATCCGAATATGATTGGTGGGTGTAATCTTCGGTTTTCTTTCAATCGAATAATTTTTTTATTCACATTGTTTGTTGAGAAATGCTTTTCTCATTTTTCTCACCTCTCTTGCATTCATTTATCGAGAGCAATTGCATAGAAATTATATAGTTTAGTCTTTGCGCCTGATATTTTTTTTTACAAACTGTTCTGGATCTCAACCCATCTGTTGCTTAAGCGGCTACGTATATGACTCATTCTTGGTCAAGAAACTCCTTGATCAAACCGTACTGTTTTGTGGCGTACCATACTCGAAGATCTTTAGTTTTCGGTGCTGAAAGAGTACGGTATTGGGCGAAAGTTGAGAGTTAATTTTCTCGGCATGAATCATATGAGTGAAAGTTCTGGGTAAACGCTTCGATGAGGCTTTTTGATCTGCTGCAGCACACAGAAGACAGGTTTAGGTTTGTTTGAGCACTGCCCCAAAATTTTTTTTGCAATAGGATATCAGACGCAGATATCAGACGCGGGTTCGATCAGTAACCTCCTTTTTCATAGTATCTCTTTATTTCGTCCCCCTCTAAACCTTCTTTGAAACATCTTTTTTATGCTTGGCGATTCATATTTATATTTTTTGCATTTTGTTAGTTACCGCTGAAAATTTTATGTTAATGGTGATACCTTGAAAAGTTGGAGCCTTTCTTGCTCAATTTTTTTGTTTGTAAAGGCTATGGTTCAGTCTTCACTTTTAACTTCAGGTGGTGTGGATCCACTTTCACCCGCTAAACCTTTGGAACCACCTCCATCCTACGAACAAGCCGTTTCTGCACCTCCTGTACCCCAACCGCCGAGTTACACGGAAACAGCCGATGAAGTGAGATTTTTTTTTGTTTTCCAATAGCCAGTCGCTTATTCTCCTTCTTTTAGCGAGTTGTACCTCCACCGCCTCCGATAATACACTCCCAACCACCTCCACCTAATCGACAGCCGCCTCTTCCGCCAAATTCCTGATACTATCAAGCTTCAAAGGTTTCAGTGCTTTCCATATGGTTATCACAGCAGTTATTGATTTATTGATTGTTTTCGGAAAGTTTTAATCCTGGATTTTTAAATCGTGTTTGCCTCTATCGATAGTTGCATATCCGTTTATTGAAAACTTTCTGACATAACGCACTTCGCTAAGTCTCCTCTTTCATAAGATTGTGCAGATGACGTCATTTTCACAAAAATCATGGTAGATCCGGCACTTCTTTACAGCTGCCTTCATTCTCATTCCTTGCAGAATATCCTTTCATTGTTAATGTTTTTCTTGATTTCCGAATTTTTCGTGTCGCGTGTCAATCAGGGCTTTGTCGGTTGTCAGTTCGCTGCCGACCTTGATTAGCATTATTGATCTAATGATTTATGTTAGATTTTCTATGGTGCAATTTTCAAAGAAAAATCATCTTTTTTCTCTTTCAATGGACTGGAACATCCGATTAAGGTATGATCTAGTCGATTTTATTCTAACAGTTGCACTTTTTATCTTAGGGCTTGATTTGACTATCGACCATTTCTGATTGAGATTGATTGATTGATTGCCATTACTATTCCTACACTGTTGTTCTCTGTACATTAAACGCCTTCTAATTGTGCGCTTTCGGCCATGTACGATATATCTATTGTTCTTCTCCTTTAATAAAGTGTCATTGATAATTTGAGGCAGTTTCACTGGTGCAACCTATCTAATATCACTTAGTTTCACGAGTGAGTTACATTTCAAAAAATGACAAGCTGTCTCGAAGGCACCGTCTGCCCAGATAGGTTGGTGAGATCTTGGTGTTACGACAGCGATACCACTAATCAAGTTTATCAAATCGAGTCCCGCTGCAAAAGATGTATGCAGAAGCGAGAAAATTGCTTCAGAAAGCGTGTGCTGTTGGGGTCGCCACGCCCACCAACGTGATTGGTGTAAAGTTGTAAGCCCAAATTAGATTCTAGGATAACAAGTACCGGAAATGTGTTTTAAAATGAAAGGGCGATTTTCGCCATTTTAAATATTATCGTGTCTTCTCGACACATTGCTTTTTGATCACCCTCGTCGATGGGCGTGGCGACACCAACAGCATTCACCTTCAGAGCTTTTTTCGCATCAAAAAAGACGTTTTGCTGCGAGACTTGGCTGATTACTTAGTTAGGGGCCATGCTCTTGTACTACATCATAATTTCACAAAGTTGAGGTGAACGGTGCCTTTATCAACACTGTCTGTAGAAATCTGTGGTTTCGTTTTTTTCTTAGTGGGCATATTCAGTACGCTGCTTCTAAAAGTGCCCTCAGAGGACATGAAATTGAGGAAGTGGACTTTTGCGGAAGTCCCACTCATTAAAGATAGGCGATGGACAGGGCCCGGCACAGATCATATGGAAGCGGGCTGGACTTCGTTTGGGGCGAAAAAGCAAAGGAAAATTGTGACTTTATTTTAAGTCGACATTTGGTTTTTTGAGAGTTTTTTAGGTTTAGGGCTGAGAGTCAAAGGGGACTTCGTAAAATTTCGCGGAAGTCAAGGGGGTCCTCGTTTTCAAAAAGCCTAGAACGAAGTTATGCCGGGCCCTGGCGATGGATGCAGAGCTTGTCAAATCTGAAGAGTAGGGAAGCCGTGCCGTGCCCTTATTCAGCTGAAATTGGGAAATCGGAGACCAGGGTTGTCCCACAGTGGCTCAAACTGGCCTTGTCTAACCTTACTCTCGCTTCATACTTTACATTGTATCCGCCTCTGACCTTGTCCAGAAACTATCTTGAACGTTCTTTAGTGTTCCCATTCCATGTAATGGGTGGAATTTCTACGTGTTTTGCATTTCTGGCAGTAATGCTTCATGTTACATTATATAATTATTCATTGAAGTAATAGAACTGGCTCGTATTGCTTGATTGTGGGAGTCTCCTATGTGGCCTCGGTATTTCTTGAGCGGGTGTGGCTCTTGTTCTGCTTTCGTCGAGGACGGAAATAGAGCTGTTTTGTGATGTGGAGGGTTTCACAATAGCATAATCATCTTGCAAAAATGAGGAACGTGAATTTTCCATTTGAGTCTCTGAGTCGCTAACTTGATTATGAGTGACAAAATTATTTTTTGTGGATTATGCTGATGAAAATGATTCATGTAAGCTTTTGAGTGGGAAATTTGACCCTCTCGCCAACTCTTCTAGATTTTCACCATAACCAAAGAAAGTACATGGGCCAAAGGGTCATCTCTACTTTTTAAATGCGTGGGCCAAAGGGTTATCTCTACTTTTCGTAGAGATGCTGTTTAGGAGGCTTTAGAGACATCGTCCATGCAAATCTCAGGTTGTTAGGAATTTGATGCAGTACATCAACGAAGATTCTAACTAAGTCGCATTGTTCCTGCTGCAAAGGCTGTATTACGAAGCGAGAAAATTGGTACAGAATGTGGCTACTGCGGGGGTCGCCACGCCCATCGACGTGAATGGACGAAAAGCAGTGATTCCGAAATTCCTCCAACTGGACTCTAGAATACCTAGAAAATGTGTTCTTGTCAAAATGAAAGTCGAACTTTCCACATTCTATGCACTAAATTCTAGTTCGGGCTCATTATCCTTCAACCACCCATTTTGACGGGCGTGGCGACCCCAGTTCACCCAGAGCAGCCCATATCTCATGCCCTTTACCGTACCCATGGAAGAGCAGTGGTGCAGGCGCAGAGCAATGCATGTAAGGCAAAGTCGTTTGTGAGATTCTGCCTAAGCTTCGATTTTTCTTCTTTGCGGTGAAATTCGTTTCACGATGTACTGACGGCTGTGTCTTAGGCCCTTCTGACAACTTCAATGAGGTTTCAATTTCGTGGCCAATGCCTTTAACTAGTTCGTTCTCCAAGCGGCAAAATATATTCGATTCTTGGCCGAGAAATCTAAATGAAGTTTCGCCCAGTATTGTAGCTGATGGTTTGCTAAAAGCGGTACTTAACGATAGTCCAGAATCTAAATTTTCGCTAAGAATGCACCATATGATCTGCCTTTTGGGCGGCCTGTTAATCCCTCCCAATTATCATTCACGTAGGAAGCCCATCTATTCAAATTCGCTTGGTCGCTTTCTTTCGCCGATTATATTCCCAGTGCATCTTTATATAGCCAAAATTGCAACTTTAGGTTGAAAGATCAAAAAAACAGAACTGTAATCATGGCATCATCTAAACAATTCAAATGGCAGAAGATCTTATACAAACGACAACCATTTCCTGACAATTACTCTGGTGGAGATGAGCAGTTTTTGAGCGAGCTAAAGAAAAATCGTGAGTTTTTTGAGGCTTCAGTCACTTTCACGATATATATATATATTTATTTATTTTTCTAGTATCAGCAGTTAAATATACTTATTGGGAAGCTGTATTTGGAGTCGCTCGATTGGTATTCCATTTGAACTTGATTGTTCTGTTGTATATCATATTTGAATACGTAAGTGGTGGACTTTTAGCTACTATGGATAATTTTATGCTGATTTAGGTGTTTGCTAATGTGCTAACGGCAGATGTGCTAGCTATTGCATTAATTTCAACAAGTGTTGTACTCTACGTTGTATATGCTTTTGTAATGACAAATGCTAGTGTTGATTTTCTGGACCATCTATATACCGTAGTGGTTTTATTGATTTTTGGATATGCCACTACTCCAGCAATAAGGTAAGGCTGAAAAAAATTGTTATAGGCCTTCTTAGAATCCGAAGATACCACGGCATGGCGGTGTGAGACGGGGTAGAGGGGCGGGGGTAGGGGGGGGGGGGAAGTAGCAGAAGGGAGAATGTGTTGCGTATTTTTGACAATGCATCCATGAACATAAAATATGCAAATAATGTTTTTGCTCGTAAACGATCAAAATAAAATAATTCTAAACCTTTGAAATTTTATAGCCTCTCAAAACAAAATTTCGAGTTTATAGTTGCTGTTTTTTTCAAAATTTCAGGGTCATAAGCCCGCAATGGAATTTGAGAAGCGCCCGAAATTTTTTCTCCCCCCTCCCCTCCCGAAATTTGGAACCGCTGCTGCGCTAAGGTTATGTTCAAACTTGGTCTATGGGCTTATCTCAAACGCTGATTTGTCACTGTCAATGTGCACGAAAAGACCTTTCTGTGGGATTACGGTAGATGTACGGTGTGAGGTCAAAATCTCAAATCTGCTCAAAACTTTGCATAAAGATTTGCCATCAAAACTTTCATCCTGCATCAAAAGGCTGTTTTTTAATGTTACGGGGGTTTTACGGTGTTAGATCGGCAGATTCGCATGAAACTAGGGAAGTTACTTGACAGTGATCACTAATCGTTTACTTTACGCGTCCTGTGCTCTGCTCTTTTCGTGGATATTACGGTAGGTACACGGTAGAACGGTCAGACCACAAATGTGCCTGATGTTTGATTTTAGAAGGGGGATCTGGCATGCTACAGAGGCAGCCTTCGCCTGGCATACCGCAACTTCTACGAATAGGTTGAGACTGTAGTTGCGATCAGCATGCTGAGTATCCCCTCCCCTCTCCCCCCCCCCCCCTCTCCTCCAGACACCGGATTCCATATACCCTTCCCTCTCTATGATGACTCTATTGAAGTATGTTTTTCAGAACACTGACCGATACCATTAGCACGGATACGATATTCGCTCTATCCTTCATCACTGCGCTGATCAGCTGTGTGTTTCATGACTATGGTATCAATGCTCCTATGTGAGTTTGCATGTCCTAAATTACTGAGCACGTAAAGGTGATACTCAGGCAAACCTGGTTATCCCAGCTCTTCATGGGGTTAGTTGCTGGATTGTTAAGCTATGGCCTAACAGTAGTCCACATGGCCATTAATGTTTGGGAGATTCTCTTCTGAGTTTTCGCCCACTACCGTGCTCGCGGCACTGTGGACTGAAAGAGTACGGTACTGGGCACGAGTTCAGAAATAGATCTTTCGCTCGTAATTAAATCATTTGAACTGCCGTGGCTATGACGTACTTACCATTTGATTATTTTACGTATAAGAAACCCAGATAACCAGGTCTTCCTGACCTTCCTAGCTGACTTTCACCTTTTCCACTGAGTGCATAGAAATTTTAGTGTCTCCTACCAGTTATCAGTGAGTAGCGGATTGAGTTCGGCTGTTTTTCTGCTCTCTCGTCTGAACTCCAATGATGTGGCCTTTGTTATGCTATCAATGGCTTTTGCTCTACATGCGTTTACCCCAATCATCAGGTAAAGGGCATTAAGTACCAAATTTTAAAATTAAATAGACTATTTTTAGAAACCTGCTTTTTGCTCAGTACACCATCATCTCATCGATACTGACTCTGTCCTTATCAATATGTTCCACATATTTTCTATGGACTCTGTATGTGGAGCTCGCCGTGATCTGGGCACTTTTCCAAATTTTTCTTTTGTTTGTTTGTCCATATGTACTGATTGTCAAGCAGAAAAGTAAGCAAACACTGCATGGACCATGGGATGAAGCGATATTGCGCAAACAGAACTAAGTCGCACAGAAATGTACGGTCTAGTTGAAAGTTATCACAGTTGCCCATGATCAAGTTATCAAGGTGAAATGGCCGCGATTTCACTGCAAGACCCATGCATATTGTAGCATCCTAATGTGCAGATAATTAGGTAGCATTCAATGGAGCAAGGCTGCCCAATTTCCAAGATTATGATGCAAAAAGCAACAACTTCAAGTTTCGCGCCAGAACGTCTTTACTGCAGCGCAAAAAATGCGCTATTGGTCAGTACAGGTTCGACACGATAGGAGGGCAAGCGTTAGGCGACAAAACGTGCAAAACGCAAGCAACGTAAATCCTGTAACTCAAAACTATGCACCATTTTTTCATTGGCGTCGGGTAATGTACCGGCCCCGACCCCCACCCCCCTGTTTTTGGCGGAGGAGACGTTTTGCACGGGGAGTTCTTTGGGATCCAAAAAATTGGGTTTGTCGCCTAACGCCCTACACCCGACACGATATTGTGATTTGCGCGGAAGTGGTCGGGGTTTGAAGCTGCTCGGTCTTGCACGTACTATTCCCTTCTGCGTTCCTCTCATTTCCAGCACTCCTCCACTCTTCTCTTGATTTTTATTTCTTCTACAAAAATCAGAAAGATTTAGTGTCATAGAGAGTTATAGGCAATTCATCGCGCGCAGAAACAGGTCGCCATCGCGGTCCCTGTCGGCGTCTCATATCAAACACGGTCTTGTTACTCTAACCGTCTGCTCTCTCCTATTAACACGTACTGTCTTAGTCTGACGCAACGGTGTCCAGTCCTTACGTGCGATGTGCATGAACTGCTTATGTGAATGTGCATATCTTGGCTATCTACTGTAATCTTAGTAAGGGTTTATTTTTCATAGCTTCCTCGATCTTCGCTTTTTTCTTTGCTCATCTTTCTGGATGGTTGTGTTGATGCAAACGTTTATGTAAATTTACCAGTGCCAATAAACATATCTACAGAAACATCCATCAATCGTATGCAGGAAGGCCGAACTCTTCTGGCTTGAACTCGTCTAGGCTATTCAAGACTTTGTCAACCCTGAAAAAAAATACAAACGATTGGCTGCTTCGATGTTCTAGTGTGGTTGCTACTAATCAAAAAATAGCCAAACTTACTTGAGCTTTTTCGCTTCTTCACGGTATTTATCATCCGGCACCATGACACATTTCATACCAGCCGCCAATGCTGCTTTTCCTCCATTTACAGAGTCTTCAAACACTAACACTTTAGATGCATTTTGGGGTTTATTGGGGAACCTGAATTAGTAAGGATTGCTATAAAATTTTATTCATGCTAGACAAAGGGGGGGGGGGGGGAGGGGGGAAAAAGTGTGGAAAATCTTCGAGAGCGGTCTGCGTCAAAGCATATCATGCAGAAACCTTATTTGTACATAATGAAAGAACATGAATCTATACAGAAGATAAGACTAATAGAAGAAAGTTTTCATTGTGTTTTAAGTTTAATTTGTAATATTTTGTCGTTTTCATTTGATATTTCAATTATTTTATATGGTTCCATCATTTTTTATTTTACCAAATCATTCACTATTATCATCAAATGTTTACTAATAACTAATATCTATTATCTAATGTAATATATTATTTGAGAATTTAAATTATAGCCACTAATGTAATAATCTATGAAAAATTTATATAACCCCTGAAAGTATCAGGTTGGCCCGAAAGTTCTGTCGCACCATTTTCAAAAATTCGTAACTTCTGATTTTTCCAACCGATTTGACTGCTTTTTCGAAAGAATAAGTCATGCCCTTTATAAAGACAGCTTATCTGGTTACCAGTGATCGTATCTATCGCATAGATAGGAGCGATAGAAGAAAATTAGTCAAAATTCGAATTTTCTATGTCATAAAAAATCGGAAATTTGCAACAAAAATCGGAGCAGTCGGAATTGTAGGTGCTTTCACCAGTCTTCCAGTCTCTAAGGATGCAAAGTTTGCGCTGATTGAGCGTCTGTATGAAAAGTTATAATTTTCCTAAAAAATGCCAAAATAAATCAAATTCGCCCTTTTGTGTTGCTCGCTCGAAAATTGTAACTTTTCATGGAGACCAATCGGCGCAGACTTTGCACTGTTGGAAAGAGCTGATGAAAGAACCTACAACACCGGCTGCTCCGATTTTTGTTGCGAGCTCCCGATTTTCTATAACCCTACACAGAAAATTCGAATTTTGACTAATCTTCTTCTACAGCTCCTATCTATCCAACAGATGAACACTGGTAAGCAGCTAAAATCTTATATATAAAGCTGAATGTCTGTTTGTCTGTCTGTCTGTATGTCTGTCTGTACGTATGTTCCGAATAGAAAATTCCATTTCTGAACCGATCCGGACCAAACTTGGCACACATACAGTACGGGCCCCGGCGGGTGTCATAGGCTACTTTTCGTCATCGATCGATATCGATTTTATCGATTTTTTGCAAAATTTGAGCTACGGGGCTGGGAGTTGGCACAGGGGGGTAAGTGAGCATGGGGATTCCGAATACAATATTAGTTTTTAAAATCGTGCACTACTTTTATCGATAAAATCGATTAAAGTAATGCACGGTTTCGAAAACTATTATTGTATTCGTAATCAGCATGCTCGATTATCCCCTTGTGCCAAATCCCAGCCCCCTAGCTCAAATTTTGCAAAAAATCGATAAAATCGACATCAATCGATAATGAAAAGTGGACTGTGACACCCGCCGGGGCCCGAAGTGTATGTGTGCCAAGTTTGGTTCGGATCGGTTAAGAAATGGAATTTTCTATTCGGAACATACGGCGGAGCCGGGTAAGCCAGCTAGTGTCATTATAAAGAGCATGACTTACACTTTTATATGAAAATAAAAACAGTCAAATCGGTTGGGAGAATCAGAAGTTATGAATTTTTGAATAAGGGTGCGACAGAACTTTCGGGCCAACCTAATATTTCTAATCAATTGCTTTTAAGTTTTATTATTAATTCTTCTTATTATTTTCATTACTTGCTGTTTTTTATATTCTTATTTTTTTCAAATTTGATTCCATCATCTTTATTCTCATAAAGCCTTCCTTTCCTCCCCCCCCCCCCTCCACCCAAAAAAAATTCTAACAATAAGGCCACTATTTGTCACTTACCTATTCATTGTAGCCAAAAAGCAATCCGGCTTGGGTTTCCCTTCTTTGATATCGGGTTCATCACCAGCAAATAACTGAAAACTGTCATTAATGCCGAGACTTCATCATAACAAAATTTTACCCGCATTGGAATGAGATCCAGCCATTTATGGTTTTCTTTTCGAGGTGTGTAAGTTTTATCACGCGAACCTGAGCATAGTGCCATCGGAATACCTAGAAATGGAACGAATTTTAAGATAAAAGTACCGTAAAAGTCTTTATTATATTAGATGATTTTTTGAACTGGAGCAGGCCTGTTGCGGTAGAACTTCTCCGTTAGCCCTGAATTTGAACTGACTCACAAAGTGCCGCGCCCCAATGCAACCATCCTGCTCCAGTGTAAAGAAGAAATCGACTATCGATGTTCTTCCGAAGTCGGGACGAATGTACTGTTCAATATGTAAATCCCAAAATTGCTAATTATTATTTTTCAAGATAAACACGCAGCCTAATTGAGATGCTAATCACAAAAAACGATATTTTTGGCATGGTAGGGCCACTTACGGTAGCTATACGGTACGGTGTCAGAATCTCATTTTGTTGTGACTTTAGATACAGAGGTTATTTGATATGTGCTGATGGTGTTACCACATCCATTCTACGGCACGCCTCATTTCTGGGCATGATAGAACCGGGTTACGATAACGGGCCAGGTAAGGTTGGTAGACGGTAAGAGATGCCAGAAAGTCTACAAATTCTGCAGCAACGGCTTCAATCATGAACACTTACCGTCAGTGGCGTACCCATGATTTCCGTTCGCAAGGGGGGGGGGGAGGAATTTTTTTCTGTTGGAGGTTGCGTAGCATTAGGTATGAAGTTCTAAAAACTTTTGATATGCTTCCTAAAATTTTTGCGGACCTCCAACCCTGAAAATGGAAAGGGGGCACTGCCTCAGCCACGCCCCCAAAAAATTTTCTTCTAAAATGCCAAACTGAATTTTCAACAATTTGGAAAATTAATTTATATAGCTACAAGTATAAACAAGCCACTCGCACGTTTTCATAACTCATCTAAGTAACTTTCAAAAATTTCGCGACCCATTCTCGGGGGGGGGGGGGGGGAGGGCACATTTTTTGTGTAAATGGAATCTTTAGTAATCTCTAATACTAAATAAAAATTGAGTATCTTGCCTTTATCATGCAGATGTTGAATCAATCGTTCAGCGCCAGGCATTTCTTTGCAGTGACGGAATTCTTCCATAAGAATAGAATCGTACTCGTCCATACATTCGTCTACGTTGACGTCGGCGATGTCGAGCTGAAAATTTTACGAAAAAATTGAAATTTTCAAAGAATTAAACAGAAAAATTTGGAAATTTGCTGCAACTTGGGACTACCCGTTTTTCTTTTGAAAATTATAATATTAGGTTGGCCCGAAAGTTCTTTCGCATCATTTTCAAAAATTCGTAACTTCTGATTTTTCCAACCGATTTGACTGCTTTTATTTTTGTATGAAAGAGTAACTCATGCTCTTTATAAAGTCGTCTTTGCTGTTTGCTAATAATCACCCGTTGCATAGATAGGAGTGGTAGAAGAAAATTGGTCAAAATTCGAATTTTTCGTGTAGGGTCATAAAAAATCGGAAACTTGCAACAAAAATCGGAGCAGTCAGCATTATAGGTTCTGTTACCTGCTCTTTCTAACTGTGCAAAGTTTGCGCCGATTGAGCGTCTCTATCAAAAGTTATGATTTTCGAGCAAGCAATAGAAAAGGGCGAGTTTATTTATTAGGTCGGTGCAAAAGTTTTGTCAGTTTTTTCAATCCATCGGCAGTCACGCTAGAATGAAGATAAACAAACATTTCAGAATTTATCCGATGCAGAATTTCTTTCTCTTTCCAGCCGCTAAAATCTCATTGTGTTTAGTTGGGAGAGTGATGAGATATTAGCTGTAATTTGCAACCATTCGTTTTTACCATGTCCAACTTTCGCTAATTTTCGAAATTTTTATTTGAGACTTTCGGAGGAGCCCTAATAACCAGCAGATACGGCAAAGCTTTTGCCAACAAAAGCAATTTTTTGTAGCCCTACGGCTTGTCTTTCAGAATTTCTACGATTTATTTTTTGAAGTGACAAAATTTTAGATTCAGCCTATTTTAACCTCGTAGAACACAAAATGTCAAACACTTTAGTCACCATTCGATGCAACTTTTTCTCCTCCTTCTAACACTTGTCTTTTTTTGCCGAGACAGGCGAAATTTGTGGGGAAAATCGCAGTATTTCTCAATTTCAGGAGTGCGCACTAACTTTACCTAAATTTCAAAATCTCCATATATGAACCGAAAATCGCTCATTTACTTTGTAATGGTAGCGGTCGTAATAATCGAGTGTTGAAGCCTCAGTTTTCTGTAGGTTTTGTGGTGTTTGGTGCAATAACAGGTTATGCGATTTTTCCAAAACACAAGACTTTTAGAAAATTATTTAGCAAAAATCTGAAAAAAAAAACAGCTGGAAGAAAGAAAAAAAACTGCCTAAGTTGGCAAAAGATTTTGCCTATCTGCTAATTATTAGGGCTCCTCCGGAAGTCTCACACAAAAACTTTAAAAATTAGTGGAAGTTGGACATGGTAAAAACGAGTGGTTGTAATTTCCAGCAAATATCTCATCACACTGTCAACGAAACACAATGGGAGTTAAGCAGCTGGAAAGAGGAAAAGATTCTGCATCGAGTACATTTTGAAGCATTCGTTTATCTTTATTCTAGCGTGTTTGCCAATGGAATGGAAAAACTGACAAAAATTTTGCACCAACCTAATATTTTGGCATTTTTTAGGAAAATCATAACTTTTCATAGAGACGCTCAATCAGCGCAAACTTTGCATCCTTAGAGAAGGCTGGTGAAAGCACCTACAATTCCGACTGCTCCGATTTTTGTTGCAAGTTTCCGATTTTTTATGACCCTACACAGAAAATTCGAATTTTGACCAATTTTGTTCTACCGCTCCTAGCTACAAAGTGTATGCTCATGAGATATCCTTTATGGCACCGCTATGAAGAGAATGAATTGCTCTTTCAAATAAAAATGAAAGCATGCAAATCAGCTGGAAGAACCGGGAGCTATGAATTTTTGAAAATGGTGCGAAAGAACTTTCGGGCCAACCTAATATTTCGAAAAGCTAAAATTTTGATGGCAGTATTAGCTGCACGATCTTTGAAGCACGGTTGCATCGGGTTACGATAGATATACGGTATGGGGTCAGGATCCCAGTCTTTGTTGTGACTTTCAATATAGAGCTATTGATATGCTAATGGTAGTAGCGTGCCGAGGGGAGGGGACGAGGGAGGCGGGGGGGGGGGGTGACGAAGCGCCATGGGTCGCTAAATTTTTGTTACTCACGTGAATCGATCAATTTTTGAAAAATCCAAATTAGCCTAATTAAAAGCCCTTCCTGGGGTTTATTCAAAAATTCTGTCGCCTTCCCCCTCGATTATCTTAGGACCACCATAGGCTGATAGTGATAACTATATCCATTTCCCACGACACACATTCTTTGGAGAGTAATCTCACCTCTTTCAGAAGATATTCGATTGCATTTCGTTCCTTTTGTCCTTTGATATCTGAACATTCAGTTTGTTTGTTCGACTATGTGTTCTATGAAAAATCGCAAACAAACTTCCTGCTAATTCTTTCGTGAATTTTTTGCCATGCTTTTTCATAAGTTTCTCCAGAACAGCTTCATAAATTGTTTCAGTATCGAGTAAAAGACCATCGAGATCGAAAATCACATGTGAGACCATACTGAAAGATTACGATACAAAAAGACAACAAGATAGATGATTTGAAGCAAAGTTAGAGAGATCTCGAAAGAAAAAAAAATAAAATTGAATATCGAATGAAATTTGAGAAAAATGGATAAAAAGAATAGATATTTAAGAGAAAAAATGGAATGATAAAATCATCAGAAGAGAAGCTAAGTGTAAGACATAGAAACATAGTGTTGCATTTAGGGATTTATGCCTCTTTCCTATCTTCAAAGGGGAAGAGTGGGGAGGAGGAGTAGGAGTTCGCAAGCCCAAAAACAGAGCTCAAACCACATAACACCACTTTCTGAGAATTTGTGATCTACTCTCGAGGTCACCTCGGATGTCAAATCTCTTTATAATAAAGCGCTAGATATGACTCATGCATGTAAGATACCCCCCCCCCCCTCCTTTGTGGTCGCGATTCAGATGTCAACAACTTTGTCGTTATGTGCCGGTGCAGGTGCACCGAGCTGTGGCTCATGATGGTAGTGGCGCCTGTCTTAGATGATGTTAATCGAGGAGCCTATCTAGCAAAGTGACTTGCTAGACAAGCTAAATGCTGGGAAGGGGGTAGGTTACTTGGCTGTTTTCGTTATGCATTAGATCTCTCTATAATAAAGCGCTAGATATGACTCATGCATGTAAGATACCCCCCCCCCTCCTTCGTGGTCGCGATTCAGATGTCAACAACTTTGTCGTTATGTGCCGGTGCAGGTGCACCGAGCTGTGGCTCATGATGGTAGTGGAGCCTGTCTTAGATGATGTTAATCGAGGAGCCTATCTAGCAAAGTGACTTGCTAGACAAGCTAAATGCTGGGAAGGGGGTAGGTTACTTGGCTGTTTTCGTTATGCATTAGATCTCTCTATAATAAAGCGCTAGATATGACTCATGCATGTAAGATACCCCCCCCCCCCCCTCCTTCGTGGTCGCGATTCAGATGTCAACAACTTTGTCGTTATGTGCCGGTGCAGGTGCACCGAGCTGTGGCTCATGATGGTAGTGGCGCCTGTCTTAGATGATGTTAATCGAGGAGCCTATCTAGCAAAGTGACTTGCTAGACAAGCTAAATGCTGGGAAGGGGGTAGGTTACTTGGCTGTTTTCGTTATGCATTAGATCTCTCTATAATAAAGCGCTAGATATGACTCATGCATGTAAGATACCCCCCCCCCCTCCTTCGTGGTCGCGATTCAGATGTCAACAACTTTGTCGTTATGTGCCGGTGCAGGTGCACCGAGCTGTGGCTCATGATGGTAGTGGCGCCTGTCTTAGATGATGTTAATCGAGGAGCCTATATAGCAAAGTGACTTGCTAGACAAGCTAAATGCTGGGAAGGGGGTAGGTTACTTGGCTGTTTTCGTTATGCATTAGATTACTATATCGCAATAGCGAGCAGCAACGCGAGCGTGGATAGCTTCCGCTAGAAAGGTTTTGAAGTTTCGGAAAACATCAGTCAAAATATAGAAAGCATATTGGAGGTATAAAAATTATTGTAAACTGAAGGAAAGAAAGATGGAGGTCCCCAATGCTGGAAGTACGAAAAATATGGTTTGAAATGCCACAAAACTGAGATATTAGGGTAGCATAGAGGAAGTTGATACGAAAGAAGGGAGGGGGGCAGGGGGGGGAGTGGAAAAAGTTGGGGATGTGCACTTTGACTCCGGCAAAGGCAAAGATATACGCACGTCAAGAATCAGAGATCAAAACTTTGAGCGGTCCTGACATGGGGAAGCTCAAGATTAGTTTTTGAGATGTAATCGAAAGGTAAAGGAAAACTAACAAAATATGGCGCAAACACTTAAATAATGCTAAATTTACACATTGATAAATTTAGGGACATTCGGACATTTCCAATAAAAGGAACGAGTGTCAGATTTTTCCCTGATCTCGAAGGAGCCGGAGACGTTCCCGCACGGTTTCTCGAAAAACATTCATTTAGGGGAAAATAAGTGATAGAAAAGCGGAAAGTGGATTGGAAGGTTGAGATTACTCTCGCTGGGTATGCATAAATTTTGATAAAAATCAATTTGAAAACCTCAAGAACATTATTACTGTGGCATATTTTGAAGAAATAAGGAAGTAGAGAAACGTAGAGATTTTTTGAAGGAAACTTTTCGGAAAGAAAGCAAAATATGCTTATGCTAACAAGCCTTCAGGGCAAAGGGGGGGGAGTGAAAACACGGAGGGGAGGGGGGGGGGGTTTGCAGCGCAGTGTGACAGAAGAGCTTTCAATTTCTTCCAAAAAGTTTTTCAGATGACTTAGATGGCTTACTTTGAGTCCAAGTTGCACAACCTCAGCAGATTTGGCTATTTTAGACCCACCAAGCTAATGTTTTGCAAAAGCTGTAAATCTTCCACATGCCAAACATTTGGGGAGATAAGCGCTCTGCTGTATATTTCATTCACATCAACATATAAAACTTATAGAAATTTCACTTAATTCGCGTTTTCGCCATTAGCAGATGTTTGCGAACACCTACTTTTTGACTAACCGTAAGAAGAGGCAATGTGCCAAATTTCTACGCACATCCCACTTCACTCACGGCCAGACCGAAGTGCCGCGAAGCTGCACTTCTGTCTGGTAACAAAAATAAAGCAGAAATTCCTAGTTTAAAATTATTGCCGAAAGTAGGCATCACATGAGAAATTATGTTATTGAAGAACTTCAATCATTTTCCTTTCAATTTCGGTCTTTCTCTTCATCAGAATGAAACTGCAATAGGCTTTTCCTTTATAAGAAGTTAGGATTGGATTGGAACATAAGTTTTGCGAGAGAGTTCCAAAAAATCAGGCAGCCATTCCGATTTGTAAATTATTTTTTTCATCGTAACGAAGTCAAATGCGAAAAAAAATGGTCACTACTTTTCGTAAGGAAATCCATGTGAAATTAGGGGTTGCTAGCACCTCCCAGCATTTATAACAATTGAAAATCAAAATAAAAATAAAAATTTGAGAGTTTGTGTTCATCAGCTTTTACCGCTAAATAACTGCAACAATTTTTGCTGTAAGCACTAGCAGAGACCGCTTGATTATCTTATATCGAACGGATTCATTGAATTTAGAGGGACATGCGCATTCATGAGATATTTTGATGAAAGGCTTAAATAGTCTTTTGAATGTTCAAGTAAATCTGAGATCTGAGAGTGAGGAAAATCAGCCGGAAATTCAGATTTATACGAGGAGCTACATTCTATCGACCTGCTGATATAACATCACACCTCCAAAAAGCGATAACATTGCGATAGGATCGGCACGGTTGTTTACGACGACCTCAGTTGCATAAACAGGGCTCGTGAAGATCAATAGCTGCAGTGGTAAACAACGCCTGCATGAGCAAACATCAGCCCTCTTCTGAAGTTGCAACCTCTGCAGCTGTCGATGATCTGTGAACCTTTGGCTGCAAGTGGTTATGCTTTATTTGAGAAAGAAATTTGAAAAAAAAAACAGAAATTTGCATTATCCTCGCCTCATAACCTAATATGTGAGTCTGCACACTACTTATTTATCTATGTATTTATTTGTTTATTTACAATGTAAACGACGCATCACCTTACAAATGAAATACAAACAGCCGAAGTGGGAGAAGTATGACAATCGACGACGCCCTTAGTAGTAATACTTTAGCACAACCCTTTATATACAGAAAAATGTGAAAATGTCCAACACTAACGAATACATAGCCAACTAGCCAACCTGTTGGATTGTACCGATGTGATGGAGATGGAACATTTTGGGAGAGATTGCAAATATTTTTCGTCCTTGCAGGCTTTGAAGATGGCGGAGATGCCATAATGTTAGCCTAATAAATCTATGTACCAATCTTGGCTACAATTTTAACATCTATCAAAGATTATACAAAACGATTCAGGTTGATAATACATAAACTTTCAACACTCCGGAACAAGGATGAGGCGAATGGCAAAGTATCAATAAGCTGATATGCCACATTAACTCCAGAAGAACAATTGCACTGAGAAGATCTAAATATAGATCTGGGCATCAGTAAAAATCACAAGTTTAAGAGTTTTCTAGATTGATGACGCGTAAGTCATGAACAATGGAGCCAATATTCTGTTCAAACCATACAGATACATCGTTTTACTGAGCATTCGTAATCAAACTGGGGTCAGTTTACTAAATAAACTTTATAACAATTACGACAATATTTTGGAGTTGGAAAGTACACTTGAAAAACAGTGTAAGTGTCCCGGTATGCAAATTGCGACATCAAAAGAATATATATAGAACAGTTTAAAAAACTGATCACTGACCGGAAATAGATATACTCATGCAAATTCGCATGTGGTATCAAAATATAAATAGTCATTACGTATGAATACTAAGAATTTATATAACAAGCACAAATTTTGACAGTTTTGAGGACAAGTCATTTCAAAAAATCTTTGACAGCTTATAGATATCCGAAACTTCATTCTCATAGAGATACTAGATATTCTCAAACAATATCTCAAAGGCTTGATCATTATGTTGTTGGTCAAGGATCTTGATTTGTTTTTGCTCTACACGAACTCAAAGACCCCGGACATGTCGAGACGCAGACTAATTAGATGGTCCGACAGTCCCCACGCCAACTGGGCGGTGCCCAGCAACTCCAGATGAGCTGTGCCTAACCGGGTGACCGGCGGCTTCCCTTCCCCTTTCTTTACGCTTATAAAGATATAATAAACATTCTAGTTCATATAAAGTAAAGCAATCAGGGTGAAGGATTCAGGTCAGGAGAGTGCACCTCCTGGACTTGACATGGAGGTCCCGGGTTGTTTTCTTTTTGTGACTTACGTTTTTCTGACTAAATTATTTTTAAATTTTTTTTGTCTGCTAAACCATTCATTTTTTTGGAACAAATGAAGCATGGATTTTGGCCAAATCTTTGCATACTCCCACCGCCGGCACCAGCCCTCATCTCCTACGTATCTCCGTAGTTTTTTTGGAAAATCATCCTTTTTTTTAAAATCATTTTTTGAGTCAGGCGATGAG